CTACAGAGCCTACACTTTATTAAGCTTTTTATATTGCAGTGACTTTAATTCGTAGAGAAAAAAACCCAGTACCAAGAAGAACAACAAGGAAACAATAAAGTCAGTGAAACAGGAGAAGCCACAGGAACAATTAGGAAATTTGAGCCGGCTGCTTCGCAAAACACGAGTGAAAGACAAACCTGGCCTAAAGGTGAAAAACATATAACCATGAAACTACAGTTTCTGTCTATACAGGAAGAAATCCAATATTTTTGTGTGTCTGATTTTCAGTTTTTTTCCTGTTTGGGATCACTGCAGGTGCTAAATTAGTTTAAAAAAATTTAAAAGACTGTTAGTTAACAAGGTAACATCAAGTAAACATAAACCTTAAAGAAGATACATTTTAAAACCCTGGTCATTGAAATTTGAGCCAGTTTTTAAACTTAAAATATGTGTGTACCTCCACTTCCATTATGTGAACTTTCTGCTTTGATAAGTGTGTTTTCTTTTATGTTTGATAAAACCCATCTAGATTTTCTTTTTGTATACTATATTTTTATCCTCTTTATGACTGTATAGGGTCTATTTTTTGTAGAATTTAAAAGTTATGAGATTTCTTTGGAAATGATTTTATCTCAGGAAGAAGTAGAAAAGGTTTCACTTAAGAAAAAGACAAAACAAAAACTGGTAAAACTGATTATAACTCAAATGAGCTCAAACAAGTCAGCAGGTTTAAAGAGATTTAAATTTTAGTATCAGAGTTAGTACTTTGGAAGGGGCGGGGTCTTACTTTTGTTTCACCTGTTTACTTTTTCCCAGGTTAAATGAGTTTGCATGCATTCTCACACAGCTTTGTTTCATTAAACACAGATCACACGTCATCACGTTTGTGGTCATTTTTTTTTTTATTTCACCACTTTTAGGTATTCATATTCTACAGAATTATGTGAGTGACGTGTGTTGTTTTAGGAAGAAAGCTCTAAAAAATTTAACTGGAATGTTCRTTCTAAGCTCTCCTTTTCTATGCATTCACCTCAAACATAACACGTCATCAAACTCAAAAGAAAACAAAAAAAGAGAACATCAACCCAGGAACATAATTCAGAATTCCTTTAAAAGGCTGTGGTAAGGATGACATATTTTTCTGTTCCTTTAAGGAAATTAAAAAAATAGCAAGTCTTCCAGTTTTCTATATTCTTTAGAATGTTCTTGCAGTTCACAGAAAAACGTTCAACCCAGAAGGTGAAACTAAAGATTAAAAGATTTCAATAACAGATAGAAATGATCAAATTAAAAGCAGAAAGTGTTTGCATTAAAATGTGCTTTAACTGGAATTAAACACGATGCCAGTGTACATTTAAGAGGCAACGATCTAAAACGAGTCATGATAAATTTTGTCCTAACGTAATGATTAACTCAAYTGGTTCCAGGATATTAGTGTCATTTATTAAAAGCCTTTAATAATCTGAGTCTGAGCCAAAAGTTTGTCATCAGGGCTCATGCCTGCACTCGACACGTTCTCCTTTCACAAACGTGACACAATCATAAAACTGTGTGTGAACCTGTAGTTAAATACCTGTTAGACATCTCCATAATCTAARACACATTCGACTAAACACTAAGAAAAATATCAGACGGCAGTAAAAGCTGATTAGTTTCAATGAGGTGTAAAGTCATACGTAAAACAATAATGCTGCAACCAATAAAATRAAATAAATCTGCAAATTAAATCTTGTTTTTTTCATGTTTCAACAGRCTGTCAATGTTTTGCATGTTAAACATGTTCACCAGCTCGATAAGGAAACTATTAACCTTTCAAGGAAACCACGTCTTTTATGACTTTTCAACAAAATGTTAATCACAGATTTCAAGTAAATTGAAGTTGCTTATTTCTGGAGTTTTAGAMAATATGTGTAATGAGTGTTTTCTAYAGATTCTCATGTTAAAACAAATATTATGGTAAAAGCATCACTCAGCTGGTCAGCAWAGTGAATTAATTCAATATGGATGTCAATAAAATTCTGAGAAATCGGAACCAARATAGAGGTACATATTTTGCTAAAAAAAAATGTTAGCTCCTTCAAAATAAATTATGTGGACATCCTGTGCCAACGAATGGCAAAATTGCTTTTATAACACTAAAACTACTGATGCAGTCATTTCACAGGTAACACAAATACATAGGGAAAAAATACACCACCCTCAAGTTTCAAGGACAATAAAACAGCACGTCACTGTTCCAGGAATCAAATGTTTAAAGGCTATGTGGATTTCAAATACTTGAACCAGAAAGGAAATCACGAGACAAAACAAAATATACTTGAGATTTGCGTGTCATCCATTACAGCTCCAGTTATGCATTTACTGTATACAAGTTGAGCCTTGAGGTGGAAATCACAAGAACCTTGATTCCTTCTAAGAAACGCCTTAAACAGGATTATAGGAGTGGCTTCATTTTACAAGAAAACCAAAGAAATGAAGGGTTTAAGTTAAGTCTCAGTGTCATGTTGTCGTTCCCCACTGTCTTAAGTCGCTTGACTTGTTTCATCAATGTGTTGAACAAAGGGATGGGTTTTTCCAGGTTTTTTATAGCTGAACTCTGCATATTTTAAAAAAGTCAGCTTCCTGTGTTACAACAATCTCTTTCATGTAGTTCAACCTGTAGAGGCGTGGTCGTTCCACTGACATGGCTTTTTGTTTTAACCACAACCAAACCCTATGGTTGAGAAATCTGTGACTTTAATCACTGCCAACAATCAGCAACTTAATGTATTCTGAGGCAAAAAAATATACCTGGCTGGTTTTCAAAAAAAGAAGGTAAAAAGGTCAATTGTGGCATAAAAATAACCCATTTGAAATTCACTAATCAAATGATCTAATCTGAGACCAAAGATGCTCATATTTAAAAAAAAAGTCAACAGTTGCAGAATTATACCCAAAACCTGTTTACACACACACACACACACACAAAAAAAAAAACAAACTGAGACTTCATATTTCTGGATTAATAAATTAACACACACATCACAAGAGCAGAAAAACTTTGTGAACCACAATAAATCTTCAAATTCCAACCTTTTTTTTTAGGGATAGGTTTATTTACTCTACAACCATACATGTCCTTCTCAAAAAATTAGAATATTGTGTGTGATAAAGTTTATTATCTTCTGTAATGTGCTGATAAACATTAAACTTTCATATATTTTAGATTCATTGCACACCAACTGAAGTAGTTCAAGCCTTTTCTTGTTTTCATATTGAGGATTTTGGCAAAAAGGTAAAGAAAAACCAAAAATCCCTATCTCAAAAAAATTAGCATATTTCATCCGACCAATAGAAGTGTTTTAATACAAAAAAAGGTCAACCTTCAAATAATTATGTTCAGTTATGCACTCAATACTTGGTGGGGAATCATTTTGCAGAAATGACTGCTTCAATGTGGTGTGGCATGGAGGCAATCAGCCTGTGGCACTGCTGAGGTGTTATGGAGGCCCAGGATGCTTCGATAATGGTCTTCAGCTCATCCAGTGTTGGGTCTTGTGTCTTAAGCTCATCCAGAGTGTTGGGTCTTGTGTCTTGAGCTCATCCAGAGTGTTGGGTCTTGTGTCTTAAGCTCATCCAGAGTGTTGGGTCTTGTGTCTCTCAACTTTCTCTTCACAATATCCCACAGATTCTCTCTGGGGTTCAGGTCAGGAGAGTTGGCAGGCCAATTTAGCACAGTAATACCATGGTCAGGAAAAAATTTACCAGTGGTTTTGGCACTGTGAGCAGGTCGTGATGAAAAATGAAATCTTCATCTCCATAAAGCTTTTCAGCAGATTAGAGAACCTTTTCATGATATGCTACTTTTTTTTTGCCAAAATCATCAATATTAAAATAATAAAAGGCTTGAACTACTTCAGTTGGTGTGCAATGAATCTAAAATATATGAAAGTTTAATGTTTATCAGCACATTACAGAAAATAATGAACTTTATCACAATATGCTAATTTTTTGAGGACCTATACATTATCACAACGAAAAACATACATCTATATACACGGTACACCTACTTAAGAAAATGAGGTACAGTATTTCTTGAACTTCAAAAGAATTTCATTGGAGGTGCCAGTCCGTCCATCCTTTCATTTTGTTGAACCTGCTTTACTTTGTTCAGTGTCCCTGAAGGAGCTGGGACCCAGTCAGAACACCAGTCCTTCATGGTAGGTTGTATAGTTCTGGTATTTTCAAATTACACAAGTGTATGTTTTTTTCCAAGTTTACTTCTATAAAAAGATAACTTCTTAAAAAGTATTCAAATATGAATAAGYATCTTAAAATATTAACCTTCAAAAGGCTTCTTAAAAGACCTTTTTTTGTTTTTTCTGTTAAAATAACAATCCGCATTTTTAATATCTCCACAGCGACATACTAGCATGCATGCAGGRAGCTATATGAACAGTTCAGCTCAAAACATCCAAACAAATACAGGCCATAAGTTAAGATTGTCATTAAAYCAGCTGCTATATTTCGTGCTTCATTTGACTCCTGCTTTGCCGGAACAATCTTCACGATTTTGAGGATGCAGACGCAGCGCCCCGTGTCCTTCTCTTTTTGCCWTTGTACATCTTTGTTTTGTATTCTCAGCACTTATCGATACCTTATGCTACTTGGCCGCTAGCTAGATGCACACAAAAACCATGTAACAAATTTGGTTGCAGTACATAATACAGCCGAGTACGTACCTAGGCCAAATCAGTTATGAACTTTGTTTTGTTGGGTGCGCACCTATTACGTATCCACTACGTATTGGTCTTYATTATGAAATGCAACTGTTTATTTGTGCTGTGATGTGATGTTTCCTCAACAAGGGCCCTGCACAGCACGTAATGYCCCTTTTTATATCCTTCTACAGTTTCCTGTCTGGTTTAAATAAAGGGCCCCTATGGCACATGACCATCTTTACAAATAGTCTCATTGTGTCCATTGTACATTAAATATGTCACAACCCATCAAGATTTAAACGATAAAAAAATTCAATATAGGTTTTAAAGATCTTGTTTTATTTGAGTTTAGTGGAAGGGCTGCAGTCTAAATGTGGGTCGTTCACTTGCTTCCACATCAAATACATCTCAGGTGGAAGGAATCGGTGTACCAGCAAAAGCTGTCTCAAATAGCACGGCTCGAAATCATCGTGTCCTTTCGAAGGCATGTTCAGCCCTAGTGTTTTCACACCACCATGCAAAGACGGTTCCAGCTCTGCTTTGAGCAAACACATGCCCATATAAGCATCGTCGATTGGGTGAATGGTAATATTCTGAGACATTTCGTTTATCACCAACGCTGTGTAGCCAGAGAATAGGTAGCCACCACCTCCACAGTACGGGGGATAAGTCTCCGTCTCTTGGATCACAGTTGGGATGAAGTACTTGCTTCCCTTCCAACGGACAACCTTTTCATTTATGAACAAGTAGCCCGTGAAGAGATGCTTGCTCCCATCGTTGCCCTCAAGGCTTTGGAGATAATCAACCATGTTGTCCGTGTTGGCAAACACGTCATCGTCACCATTAAACAGAAAGCGCACGTTCGCACACTTTCTTTTCATCCATCCCAGGAAGAGCGTCTGCTTCAGGGTGAGGTTGTGAAACGTGTCGTTGAAGTCCCACTGAAGGATGTCGTTGAACTCCTCCTGCTCCGCCTGGAGAAGCTTGTTGAGCTTTTCCTTCTCGTAACCGGCACCCGACGTTCCCAAGATGAAGAGCCGTCGAATCCACACACCGTTGTGTGTCCGCTCTTTAGCCCAGGTTTTGCGCAGTACCTCGCGGCGGTCGTAGTTGTTCGGGGAGCTTTTAATGACGAGCAGAAGGAAGACTTCCTCAGATTTGTTGACGCCTCTGCATTTTTCAGGGAGGTCTAGCAGCAGGGGGAAATGGCGACAGTGGCGATAGAAGAGAAAGTTTTGTATAGCATCGGGAAGAGAGGCAAAGTCCGACAAGCTGGTGACAGACATGTTCGCTTCACATTTCTCCATTACTTCGACGTGACTTGTGGATACGTGGGAATTGACTGTGGTGAGAGGAATCACTTTACTGTCATTTTGTACTTGAACTGCTGGAAGTATGGGAGTGACGGGATCAACACCGTTGAATTTACTGAAGTAAATAACCATAGAGAGAGCTCCCAGCAGTATGAAAGCTTGTGGAATGGTAAATGATTTCTTGAAACACCTGCAATAAAGAAAAGAGATTTTTATTTACTTGCACGCAAAGGGTCCTTGTTTTTGCAAGTATTTTTAGGTAAATTAACACTTAAAAAGGGGCAATATCATGTAAAATCAACTCTGAGTTTTATTTCATTTTATAGTGTTATACTCATTAAAAATATGCCCAAAGCCTTTCTTTGACTCATTCATGCATGTTTGAGAAATCCTGCAGCGTTTTTGGGCAGCCATGCTGAGGAGCAAAACGACAGGTGGGGACCAGAAACGCCCCTGGGACRTGTCTTTAAGCCGAACTCCCACCCCACCCCACCCACACACCTCGCCCATGACTCCTGCAGGCTCTCAGGTGAAACTGAAACTGTCTGCTGAGCTCCCAACAATAGTTTTCACTCAGYGAAGCTCTTTTCAGATTAAAAATACCTTTGAGGAAATGTATTTTTAGATGCCAAGTAAACTGCATCATGGAGCCACCTGCACTGAAATGGGCGAGACAGAAGCAGAAGGTGGTTCTTAAAGGGATCCCCGATTAGTTGTAACATTAGACTTTATATGAAAAAACATATAATATAACTGTAAAATAAAGACTGTAAAAATACAGTAGGATGTTCAGTTTTTATCATTTTTAAACTAAAAGTTTAAAAATATGACACGGACGGGGCCATTTTATTTACACGCAAAGCATTCTGGGTAAATGACRACATCAACTAGGTCATCGGCACGAGGCTGCTAGCGAGCTATATCCACCCTGAAGGTTAATCTTGGACAATATCTGATGATCGACTCTTTTAAATGAAACCAGAGAGATTTGACAGAGAGGAGAAGGTAGAAATGACTCAGCCTGTTACTGAAAATATAGATGGAGGACAACAGAGCTGCTTCATGGAAGAAGAACTTCAGCTTAGCCTGTTAGCTTTAGCCCCGATGCTATCACCATATGTATTAGCTCAGCGCTACATATTCTCCTCTCATCACTGAGGTCCTCCATCCATGACAGAGATGGGAACGCAAAAATGACTCAGCCTGCAACTGAAAATATGGATGGAGGACCTCATTTTAGCTTGTTAGTCAAGCTAGCACCGAGCTAATACATATAAGGCAATATAGTGTGAGGGCTAGCGCAAAGGCTAACAGGCTAAGCTGAGGTTCTTCTTTCATGAAGCAGCTCTGTTGTCCTCCATCCATATTTTCAGTTACAGGCTGAATCATTTCTACCTTCTCCTCTCTGTCAACGCTCTCTGGTTTCATTTAAAAGAGTCAATCATCAGATATTGTCTAAGATTAACCTTCAGGGTGGATATAGCTCGCTAGCAGCCTCGCACCAATGACCTAGCTGATGTCATCATTTACCCAGAATGCTTTGCGTGTAAATAAAATGGCCCCGTCCGTGTTAAAATGTATTTTAAAAAATTTACAAAACTAAACAGCCTACAGTATTTATTTTACAGTTAAAATAAATGTTTATCAAATAAAGTTTAATGTTGCAACTAATCGTGGATCCCTTTAAAGAGACAGAGGCCAATTTCAAGGCGTTCAGAAGAGGAAGTCATGAGAAGATAAGTTTATTTTCTCTTCAAACATAAATGCAGCATTTTAATAACAGCTAAAGGTGACAGAGTATTATGGTATAGTATTTAAATGTATGCCTGAGAAACACATAATATTGCCCCTTTAAATAGCAAAACATCTACCAATGTGCATGCTCAGGTCTGCAGCGTCGCTATCAAGAACCTTGACCTCTTCCATTTCAGTGTTAGCCTTAGCTCTCCTGTTCACACTAAACATCAACTTGATTACATCATTGAGCTTGGCAGTAAAATGACTGAAAAAAAAAAAAAAACAGTCCATGCAATGATTGATGGTTCCTGCCTTAATAACTGTTCTCCCTCCTGCACTACAACCAGAAAAAAATTCCGGAGTACAGACCCCTGTAATCTTGTGCCGTTTTAGCTGTTGAAGAACCGGTAAGGTCAAAATCAACATCGTTTAATTCACTTATCTAGTAAAAACTGTGTCTTAGTGCTGTAAATGCTGCTGATATGGGAACTCTGGATCACTAACATCAGCATGCAGTTTAGTAGCCACAACTACATGCAAAATGAGTTTGTTCTTTATACAGGAAACAAAATGAAAGCTCTCTGTTAGCTCTACTGGTAGCATGGCCACAGATAAAACATTTAAAAAAAAGGTACAACAATATTGACAACAGGTTTTCGTGTCATATCTTTGTGGATTTGTTGTTTTTATTGGCTTTTTAATGGTTCATATGTTCATATTGCTTTTGTTCATATTGCTTCTGCTCATATTGTTTTGCTTTATTTGAATGTATTTTTTTCACCCGTGGTTTTTGTTTTCTGCTCATCAGGTTTCAGTTTACAGAGTATGACAAAGGCTTTTCACTTCTCATTACTTCCCTTTTTGTTAATAAAATCCTAAGTTTTGACAGGCCTTTGTCTGTTGTGTATTAACGCTCTGTTAGGTTTTTGTCTTCCTCATTTTTTTCTCGTTTTTATTGCTCTTTAAAATCTGTTAATGGTTATGTTTTTATTCACCCTCTTACCTTTTGAGTACCTGCAATTGGATCACATGTACAACCTACCTCCCCCACTTTGCAAACAAGTTCAACTAAATAGTTTTCAGAAGAAGTAATAGTCTGGTAGCTCAAATTGTCAACATTTTAATTTTACGATTTTAGGTAATCGTAATATTGCATATGCTACTGCTGTTTTGTGGCGTCACCACATCAACAAAATATCCAAATCAGAAATGTTCTTGTCTCCTTAAACTCTTGTTTAATTTAATCCCAGCAGCCTACTTAAAACAAGCTCGCAAAGGTAAGTTTCATTTACAGAAATCCTGCTGAAAAAAGAGGAAACTAGCAGCTTGTTTAATAGTTAACTTATTCTGCTTGTCTATTCTGCTGCCAAGTGTTTAAAAAAAGAACCCAAAGAATGTGATTTAAAAAAAAAAAAAAATCGGTCGCAAAGCTTTGTCTAACTAAGACACAAAGAATGTGGTTTGACTTTTACTTTGCTTAAGCATGTAAGTTTTYCTTTAGAAAAGCTGTATTGTTCTTAGCATTTGTTGGTTTAAACTTACTGCCGAACCAAATCATGCCATCACCGACGTGTTGAATGAACTGATGCACCTTTCTACTTTCGCAGATCCTGACTTCTGAACAACAAGCTGAGAATAGTTCAGATAATGTCCAGATAATCTCCTCTTCACCTTTCTGGAAARTTTGTTTTAATTTCCAATAGGTTTTTGATCTTTATTCAATGAAACTGGATAAAAAATCCAACCTTTTCTCTTTAAATACTGCTTTAGCTTGAAGAAAATGGTGTTCCTCTCATGGTACATTGGCATATTTTCATTGTGCAAGGCAGTCTTATCTATTTTTAATCCTAGCTTTGTTAGCCTGTGGCAAAAATAACAGTCTGAAAAATATTATTAAAAAGACAATGTGTGCCACCCTCGAGGACCGGAGTTCAACACCTGTGGTCTAAATCAAACGTGAGAACGAAATGGTTTAACCCTGGTCCTCAACATCCCCYATCCAGCATGTTTTACTTGTTTCTCTGCTCTTCAGCAGGTCTTCAGAAGATTGTTAATCATTAATTCATTCAAACCAGGTGTGTCAAATCAGGAAAACATCTCAAAATCACTGCTTTAAATGTTGACCAACACCTCAAGAGCTTCTCTGAGCTTAATGAGATATTTTTAAAAATGATATCGACTTAGTTTTATCTATTTTTTTAGTATTGCTTTTCAAAGCCATTGATTCTTTGCCATTTATTTGTAAATAATAAATCAGATAACGTGTTAAAGCAGTGATTCTCAACCCTAGTCCTCAAGGACTCCTTTCCTGCCTGTTGAGATGTTTTCCTGATTTGACACACCTGATTTGAATGACTGAGTGATTCACAATCTTCTGTAGACCTGCTGAAGAGCAGGGAAACAAGTAAAACATGCTGGATAGGGGATGTTGAGGGCCAGGTTGGTCAGACCTGGAAGGCTAGACTACAAAAAACAGTGATCCGAACATCTGACCTGCAAGTTTATATATAAATAAACATAAAACAAAATTGAAATGTATTTTTATTTTGGTTTTCTTGCTCCTTTTTTGCCTTTATATCGCATAAATGTGATGTATGTTATTTTATTTGTTATCATTTTATAAGTTTAAAAAGAGATGTTCTTATGGTCTTATTTATTATGAAGGTAAAGCGCAAACTGAATAAAGAACCGTGTTACTTTGAGGTATTTTCATCACTTCTTATTTCCGCTCTAGACGCACATGACGCACAAACGGAACGACGGACTATAAATGTTATTAATTAGCTACTTCGTGTTTGTGAGCCATGTTTATCAGGGTAAAAAAATACGTTTAAAATGAACTAACACTAAAAACTATGACTTACCGACTCATTCTGATGGCTCGGGCGTTTCTGGCGACGCTGTCGAAACTCCCGACTGATCTGTTGTGGTGAAGGTGGTGGAAATTATGGCCGTGAGCAGACTTCGCCCTGAGTTTAGTCTGTCAGGTTGCCATGACGTCAGAGCTGCGCCTGCGCTTCAGGGACGCAAAAGCTCTGCCTTGAGCGAARCTGAAGTCAACTTAAAGTATGAAAAGCCAATGGGTTTATAATTCTTTTCTTTTTGCTTTTCTAATAATCCTTTGGCTGTTTCTGGTGTTTCAATGAGCAGCAGGTGAAGCCTTCATGGGCTCAAATAACCTCAGCTAGAATAGAATAGAATAGAATAGAATAGAATAGAATAGAATAGAATAGAATAGAATAGAATAGAATAGAATAGAAT